ACTCAGCTGTCCCTTGTTTAACAAACTACTGGCCTATGTGGCTTGCTGGCATAGTTCAGTGACCAACTGTGTACTTAGCAAACGTGAGGTCTTAGGATGGTCCCCAACACTATCACTATCCCAAAATTTTAAAATATTTACTAAACAACTACTACATCTCAAGCTTTGTCTAAGGATTACAATCAGAATCGAAAGAAACAGACGAGTTTCTTTTATTGGAGACAAGCTGCGATAAAATTTCATGGAGGAATAAATAAACAGGCTCCAGGAACACAGAAGTGGGAGGGTGCACAGTACTGAGGGAAGTAAGCAAGAGCCTCGATGGTTCCAACCCTTGAAAATACGGGTGCCTTGACAGGATGAGGCAGAGGTGTGATGTGACTGGAGTCAGAGCCAAGAAGAACAGATCACCTGGAGAAACCTCAGATTAGAATGGTCAACAGGATATGGAGATTAACTGGTTGTGGCTACTAGACAAAGGGTGGTTCTCAGGTTTCTGACAAGGTAGCTGACTGATGTCACCAGGCATTACAGGAGGGTGTAGAGAGGGCAGTGGGGGTACAGGAGGCATCGGGGCACAAAGCTCAGTTTTCAAGCAGCTGATGGAGAAGATCTCTTGACTTTGTCAGGATCCTGTTAGTTGTACTTTCTCTTGGGGAAAAAAAAATAGAATGAAGGAAAATGAAAGATAGGACGGGGACAGAGGCAATTCCAGTATTTTAGAAACACCAACACTGTGGAGCATTCTTCTAACCCCAGCACTCTGGAGGCAGAGAGATCTCTGTGAGTTCAAGACCAGACTGCACTCTGGAGGCAGAGAGATCTCTGTGAGTTCAAGACCAGACTAGTCTGCAATGCAAACTCTAGGATAGCCACATACACATACACATACACATACACATACACATACACATACACTCCTGTCTCGGAAACAAAATCACCAAGACTTAGGAAAAACTAAGGAAAGAATGAACTGCAAAAGTGACTAAGGGGGAGGGGTCAGTCAAAGAATCAGAAGACACAAAGTTAAAGACTATTTCAGGATGACTTTACTGAATGATTGGCTTTACTGAATGAGCCTAGAAGAAGCAGCCTGACCTGCAGGCAGCACCCTCTAGCTTAGTGCTCTCAGGCAGGTCTCCCATCACTTCACTTAGGGTACCAGCAGTCTTACTCTTCAACTTGACTACAGCCTAGTGCACACTCCATACACCACCAGTGAGCATGAGTACAGTGAGCAAAGTCCATTCTAATCTCCAGACTTTCTTAAACCTCCAGTGTTCTAGGTCCACCCCTGCAAAGTGCAAGCCAGGGTATAGCATGGAAACCCCAGAAGTCATGTAGCCAACTAAAGACCAAGGCCAGCTCTGCCCTTACCTATAGCATGAGGGTTCCCTGAACCAACTCTGAGCAGTCCCCAGCCTCTCTTTTACTCAGGATAGTGCTCAATTATCCAAAAAGGGCCGCTTTGCAAATTGTACTGAGGGCCTGTGCCTCCCTCTGGCCAGCCTTGCCCCCAGTCTTGCTTCTGTCCTTTGTCCATCTTCTTAGAGCAAATACCCACCTGGGAAGCATCTAGTGTACTCCTCAGACACATGCTGTTCAGTGGGTAAGCCTGGAGCTACAGACCACAGGCTAGAACTCAAGTTCTTCAAATGGCCACCTGTACAGATCTCACTCCTTACCATCTACATCACTGCCTGGCCTCCATCCCAAGGAGGTATACTCCCCAATTGGACAAGCAAAGAAACAAGAATCCTCTTTGGGAGTGTCAAGGCACAGTAAGATAAGGAAAGGACAGTCTGGGAGAAACAGGGAGCTAAACAAACTAAACCATATAAAGTATCTTTTCTATAAAAAGTATAGAAGAATATTAAAGCTGAGTGGTGGTAGTGGTGGCAGTGGTGCACACATTTAATCCCAGCACTGAGGAAGCAGAGGCAGATCTCTGAGTTTGAGGCTCAGTCTGGTCTATACAGTGAGTTCCAGGACAGCCAGGGCTACACAGAGAAACTGTGTCTCAAAACAACAACAACAGAAGGAGGAGGAGGAAGAAGAGAAGGAAGAAGAGGAGGAGGAGAAGAAAATTAAGTCCACACCCACTAAACTAAAACTAACTATAATAGTACCTGGGACTACAGTCTTAAGCCCTACAAATCTGGAGTATCAACTCATCCACCTCTGAAGAAAGATGGACACAAAACGATTTTGTCATGATAAGAGCAGATTTCTTTGCTGCAGTGGGGTTTCTCCTGCCACTTCAGTTCCCATTTCTCAGTGCTGCACTAATCAGGCCTTTTCCAACAACCGTGATGTGAACAGCTTGGGGGCTGAAGGAACAACAGCAAGGAGACAGAGCGGGGCTCCCAAAATGGGAGTGTGAAATGAGAGGATTTGCTGAATTCCTTAGACTTAGTTAACTCTGGAAATGCATGTCAGAATACAAAGTCAGCCACATACTAACAAGTTATGAGTGTCAATTTAACACACCCTTGTCAGCCGCAGCAGCAGCTTTTGCCAGGCGCACAGTACAGGGTGGCTCAGCTGAGAGCCACTGACAGCCGCTACCAAGGTTCCAGAACACCAGTAAACAGTGCACAGTCACGCCGCACTACTTACCTTCTCTCTCTGGCTGCTTTTATTTTGTTACACATTTAATTAAGAGCTTTCCCTGCAGTTATGTGCAGTCCTGCTTCTTAAAGGGAGTCAAAGCCCCTCCTCCCCTACCCTGTTACCTAGCAGCAGCTGCTTCTGGCATACCTTTCTCCAGAGCCCCAACTTCTTCACCAAACTCAAATCATCACAAACCAAGAAGTGTTAGAATTCCCTTCTATTTAGTTGTATCTTTATCTCTGTGAGCCCCCAAAGTATTCTACTTTGTTTTGTTTGCTGTTTATAAAAAGGAGACATCGCCTCCTACCAGAGACAGTGGTTAGTATATACACTTGGATTCTGCAGCCCAACCTGGGCACTGTTTCTCATGAAGACACAGAATGGCAGTGCAGCACAGGCCAGAAGAGGCTTGACCAATGTGTACAGTGCCCTTTAAAACTGCCCCTCCATCTCATGGGACAGCTCCAAATAAAGGAGCTGATATCTAGTCCCATGCAAATCAAGTTCTCTGATGCATGCATGTGCACATAATTCACAAGTGACAGCAGAAGGCTCAGAAGCACTACCACTAGGAGGACGAAGACACCAGTGAGGAACGCACTGGAAGGCAGGAGTCTAGGAGAGGCTACCTGGAGGAGCTGGACCCTGGACAAGGTCAAAGCATCTTCTATTTAGGAACAGTTTCCCCTGGGCTGCAAAGACCCCACGTAAGATTCTCCAGGCTTCAAAGCTACTTAGGAAACACAATGAGAACAGCCGTCCTAGACTGGAGATGGAGCTCAGTCGGTAAGGTGCTTGCCTAGCATGCACAAAGCCCTGGGTTCAGTCGGTAAGGTGCTTGCCTAGCATGCACAAAACCCTGGGTTCAGTTGCCAGCACCACGGAGACCAGGTGTGATGGAACACATCTATAGTCCCAGCACTTGAGAAGTAGAGGCAGGAGGATCAGTAGTAATCATACAAAGTGAGTTCAAGGCTAGTCTGGGTTAATAATATACAAGGCCCTGTCTCAAAGAAAGGAATACTCTTGCCCTCTCACCTTTGCCATTGATGCTTTTAATTCTCATCTGCTTCCAGACTTCCAGACCCAACCCATACAGCTGTCCTGTCATGTGGGAGCACAGAGACACCCTGGAACAAGCCTAGAGGTGTGCAGCTAGTCTGTGTGCACATGGGGCACGTGAGTGCTGTGTGCCCGTGTGTTCTGCAGATCATTCTTCCTGACTACCCAACAGAGCTAAAGTCCAACAGCAGGCCTGACCCCCAACTGGAGGTCTAAGCTCACCTCAATGACCAGGATCTAAAAAATATACAAGGGACAAGGGACCCTGGTGAGAAGATAAAACCTGACTTGAAAGCAACAGTCACTATAGTCTATATCTCATCATCACCAACACTCACCTTCTGTGTGCATACACGCACGCGCGCGCGCACACACACACACACACACAGACACAGAGAGGGAGGGAGGGTGAGAGGGAGGGACAGAGAGAGAGAGAGAGAGAGAGAGAGAGAGAGAGAGAGAGAGAGAGAGCGAGCTTGCTGCTGCTTCAGTTACAAAGAACACAGTGGTATTGATTCCATCACTTCTCAGCAAACAGCACCCCCACCCCCTTAGTCCCCGGGGGCTGTCTGAAGCCAGGTATCCATGAGGACAGACAAGAAGCACAAGTGTCAACCCAGCAAAGGAACTTGTTCTGCCTTCCACAACCAGACAGCATTAGAAGACAAAGGAGAAGCAGCAGTGGGGACAAAGGAAGAAAGAGGAGGAGGGTGACTTGGGCAATTTCCCAGAAGCAGCCCTCTCTCATCAGACATCAGGCTCTCAGCTGATAACCAGGGTCTTACATACCAGATAATAGGGCAGCATAGTAACAGTTAAGAGAAAGGACCCTGGAGCCAACTGCTGAGTCTGAATCCTGACTGTGTGGTCTTGGGAAATTTATTTAACTTCTCTGTGCCTTAATTTCATTAGTTAGAATAGAAATATGAATAGTACCTACTTCACAGGATTAGTGAAGTTCTTAGAGAACTTTGAATATATACTAAGTACTCTGTTTAAAAGGTTTTTTTCTTCAAGACCTTCTTTTAATGGCTTCCTCCTGGGTCAGTAACACACAGGCCAGCAATCAGAAGAGCTGCTGTGAGCAACAAGATTTGTCAAAGGCAGGAAGGGTTAATAACAGCAGTCCTAGCAGGGCCCTTAACCTGTCCCTGCCCTGTTCCAGAGACTAGAAGCCACAGCTCCCAGCTTTCCTCTACCTCTGGTGGCCTGAAAGACCCAAGGACCCCTGCTGCCCAGCAGACTTGAATGCTTAAGCCCTAAAAGGCAATGCCTGGTCCCTTAGATGCCAAGCCCTGAAGCAAAGAAGCCCTCTGCATACTCACATGACTTTCAAGTCCCAGTCTCCACAGGTGACAAAGATCGACTTGACGTTTGGATCTAAGAGGCCTTCCTTTGCCATCCACTCATCGACCCTCTGGAAAGTACACAAGAACAAATGAGATCATCCTTTTCCCTGAGCCCAAGAACAGTGCAACAGTGACACACAGCTAAGTAGCCTGTAACGGAGCAGGAGGAATGGTACGCTCTCCCAGGCATGCTGCTTCACTCTGTCCTCTCAGCCTTGGCTGGGTCTACAGAGGTCCTTGGGTGATCCCTTCAGGGATCATCTCTTCAGGGAGACACCACAGTCCACAGTCCACGTGTGGTGGGAGAGGAAGGTCCTCTACTCGTCTCTGTGTGACAGCCTGCCTGTGATCCCAACTGCTAGTCCAAACACCCCTTCTGTGACTTAACTGTCTCTTTCCTTGTCTGACACACAAAGGCATAACCCAATGCAGAAACAGGTGGTCCTGGGCCCTCAGAACAGGGCAGAAAGAGGCTGAGACGGGACCTTACCTGCAGCCTTGTTCATCCCTGTGCCTCTTCACGCTTACAGTCAGTGCTGACTAACTGTGTTCATGAACCTACTTCTTCATCAAGAGAAGATGAAACCCTTTTCCCTTCAAAGGAGGTCCCACTGATGAACTAGAGACTCTCCTAGCAGTGAGGCAACGCTGCTTGATCTAGTTGCTCAAAGCTTTACAAACCAACTCAAGGATTCCAATTCAGCACAGCATTCTGAGGACTGAGCTCAAGTGCTATACAGGGAAAGAAACCATTCAGAAGCACACCTAAATCCTTCTCTTCATGCCTCCAGCTGGGTTTTACTGTTTGCACTTACAGTGGAGTACAAACACGGACATCGGTATATAACAAGAGAATTATCATAAAGAATTCATGAAGCACTGCCTATTTTTCAGAAGATCCCAGGCACAGGAAAGGAATGCAGCCAATCATACCATGGCTTCCACTTGCATAGGAGGATTATTTTTTAAGTCTCTATCACACAGTAGTTAGAAACAGAATTAAAAGTAAGATACATCTGGTTCCAATCCTTGGTTCTTCCTTACGTTGTTGACTGGAAATCATTTAAAAGTCATTAAACACCACTAAACCTCAATTTCTTTCATCTATACAACTGGGTAGGATGACAATCCTTACTGAGTTGTTCTGAGAATTAAATGCGACAATGTATCAAATGCCTCCCCTAAAATAGACAGAAGCTGAGAGGAGAGACAGGGTAATGAACAAGCATGTACTGCAGGAAGAAGGTACAACACTGTTGACAACAGCGCCGGCATGGTGACTGTTCAAGTGTCAGTCAGTTAAAATCTGTCTTCCCTAGCAGACTGTAAGAGAGCAGGAGTCCCACTGTCCTGTTCTAGTGTTTTACTCAGTACAAGACTGTTGCCAGGCATGCTGGCACACACCTGCAATTCCAGCAGTCAGTAAGCTGGGAAATTGAGGATCTCAAGTTTGAGGCCAGTCTGAGCTACATAGTTCAAAATTAGCCTAAGCTATATAGCAGACCCTGACTCAAAACAAGATACTTGATGACTGAAAATATTAACAGATGCAAATTTAGTGAGAGCAAAGACTACATGGCAGAAAACTGCAATGGAGGTCTAGTTAGACCAGACTGCAGAGGGGCTGTGTGATCAGTAGTAATGGAGGGCACATGTGGGCCCTAAGGAAGAATGCCCATCTAGTAGGTAAAGCTAGTTCCCTGGCACTTCTGAGATGCTGGAGGCATCCAGTAAAAAGACCAAGGACCCCCTCTAATTCTATGGCAGGCCAGTAACCAGAATGTAAATGTTGCTAACCCTAACCCTAACCCTAACCCTAACCCTAACCCTAACCCTAAC